TTGGGTGTCGAGTATAGGTCTGAATTTGCAGCCCTACACTGGCAAATCCTGACAGCTCAAGGGACGTTAAACAACAAATAGACAATCAAACAAACATTTTTGTGTCGCCAGCAGAGCAGAGCAGCACTTAGCGATTAATTTACCTGGCGTCTGTCTTGCTGCCCGTCCGTCTGTCACACCTTATATCTCGAGAACTGTAAGAGGTATGGATTTGATAATTTGCACATATAGCTTGACACTATGGCTCTTGTATTTTGCCATGGCTTCCGACCTAGATATCCTTGAACTTGACCTTTGACCAACTTTTCAATATAACCAATAATACCGATATACAACTTCTTTTTGATATTTAAGATGTAAGTCTATGCTATTTAGAATGTGCACTGTTTGTCATCAAACATTTTGAAAAATACCAGCGTTACAATCCAATTGACCTTGGCCTTTGACCTATTTTGTAAAATATGCTGCGGAGGGTTAAATTTAACATGTCTTTGAAATTAGAGAGGCAGGGTTTGATAATTAATATTTATACATGTTTATGAGCTCATGAAAATGTATTTTGACACTGTATGAAATAAAGAAACCACAAAAACTGAAATTTAAGTACTATGAAAATACAACGGGATCGGTATTCCAAAATGGATGGTGTAGACTGACAATTGCGGATATGATAGACTGGAGGATTGTTGAAATCACGTATACTTAAATAATTTATAAATAATTATTTAAAATAAATTTATTCAAATTTCATTAATATCCATTTTAGCTTTCAGGGGTTAAGGATTTGTATTTCTATTTGATTGTTAGATTCTATCGCAGTCTTACTATCCCTGGATTTTTTTTTTTTTTTGCATAAACTAGATGCCATGCCATAGCAAATAAATAGCTGATAACTTTTAGACTTAGTTACATCTTTAATGAAGCTAAAAGCAGGCGACAATGCGTTCCTGGGAACACTCTTGTTCTGTAAGAAATTGGCAAAGATAATTAAGCAGAGATTTTTTATGAATAAGATGGGTTTCTTTTAACCTTTTTGTAAAGCTGACTATATATACATCTATGGTCTGCGTTATTAAACATGATGTGATAGGGTAACGTTATGCACCTTGTACACGTACTCAAAGACGCCGACGTTTTTCAATATCGAAATTGGACATAAAACATATTTACAATAAAATTTGAAGTTAAACGTAATAAATTACAACTACATGTATATGGAAACGAAATAAAAAACATAGGTAATCAAAGATTACGAAGCTCACCTCGACGAATGTTATCTATAAGTAAGGCAAATTTCACATCAAATTTTTTTTTGTAGTTAAGGAACATCCCAAGATCAATATCCTTGCAAGTTTGATTTAAGTAGGACTTGTAGTTACTTGGAAATAGACCTGCTCAAAAACTTTTAACCTGCTTAGTAATCAAGAAAATTTTGGTCAGTTCAAACATCCAAAGCAAGTCTGGAAGTTTTCATCCTTGGATGCACCATCTATGCAAGTTTAATCATAACAGGCCATAATATTATATAGCTACACCAAAAAAAAAAAATACCCTGGTCACTCAACGGATAATGTGGGTCAGATTCAGAATCCAAAGCAAGTCTGGTAGTGTCCATCCCTAGATACATCATCCATGCTAATTTGGTTAAAATATGGCTAAAATTCACTCATGTAGAAAATCTAGGTCAGATCCAGCATCCGAAGCAGGTTGGTTAGTGTCCATCCCTAGATGCATCATCCATGAAAGTTTGGTCCAGGTAGGGCTTATAGTTACTTGGGAACGGGACTGTTCCAAAATCTAAACCTGGTCTCACATGTGGAAAATCTAGGTCAGATCCAGCATCCGAAGCAAGTGTGGTAATGTCCATTCTTTTGGATGCATCATCCATGCAAGTTTGGTCAAGGTAGGGCTTATACTTACCTGGAAACGGACCTGCTCCCAAAACTTTAACCTGGTCACTCATCTGAAAAATCTAGGTTAGATCCAGCATCCGAAGCAAGCATGGTAGTGTCCATCCCTAGAAGCATCATCCATGCAAGTTTGGTCCAGGTAGGGCTTATAGTTACTTGGGAACGGGACTGTTCCAAAATCTAAACCTGGTCTCACATGTGGAAAATCTAGGTCAGATCCAGCATCCGAAGCAAGTGTGGTAATGTCCATCCTTTGGATGCATCATCCATGCAAGTTTGGTTAAGGTAGGGCTTATACTTACCTGGGAACGGACCTGCTCCCAAAACTTTAACCTGGTCACTCATCTGGAAAATCTAGGTCAGATCCAGCATCCGAAGCAAATGTGGTAGTGTCCATCCCTAGATGCATCATCCATGCAAGTTTGGTCCAGTTAGAGCTAACAGTTACTTGGGAATGGGACTTGCTCATGAAACTTTTACCGGGACACCGACGCTAACGCCGACACCGACGCCGGGGGTATAGCATAACCTCATCTCGACTTCGTCGAGGTGAGCTAAAAAAAACGTGTAAACTTGTCAAGTCGGAAACACTCAGAATGGTATTATTGGTATCATACAGACTGTGTCATGGCCTTGACTCAAGTTCAAGGTCACTAAGGACAAGATGCTTTTACTGAATGTGTGGTCTGAAAGAACATGTGTTAACTTGTCAAGTCGGAAACACAGATAGGTTTGCGTCATAACCAGAGTGTGTCATGGCTTGACGCAAGGTCATCTGGACAAGTTCAAGGTCACGAAATAGAAAGTGTACATTATTTTATTGTCTTTCTACTGGCGAAGCATTGCAAGTTGATGGTCCCTTACAAGATTATTTATCATCATAGAATATGGCATGACCTTGACTCAAGGTCACTGCTTCAACGGAAGACTTATTCGTTGCTCTGCAACGAGCTCGGCTCTAGTTTATAGTAAGATTATTTTAGTTACACGCATGAAGAGCTCTCGTTTACTTGCTGAATGAAAACAGTTACCTGTAAATGGGTCAAGCTTCTGGCGCATTTAAAACACAAGACTCGAACAAAATAACATTTTCATGAGATCAATAAGATGTTAAAGAACAATTTTTTTTACGACAGCCATTTCGAAATACTTACCGTTTTTGAGTTATAAAGCAAAAACTTTTAAGGGCTCCAGATCCCTAATTTGAGGGGCCAGCCCCTTTTTAGTGGTGTCAGATGAAAGGCCTTAAAATTGTGCACAACTTTTATTCTACATGTCTTATCAAAATATTTTTAGTTTTAAAGATACAAAGGAAAATATGTCTAAATTTTCGCTCTTTTAGGCGTTCTAATTTTTGACCCCTATATAGCGCCATTTTGGAGACAGAAATCGAAAAACAAAAACCGATGTGCACAACTTCAATCCTTCTATTATTTAAATTCGGTAGAATTTCTGCTCCAGATTTTGTAGTCTCGGAGCCTTTGTCTGGAATTGAAGCCTCCTAAATTTTCATTTAAAGGGAAATAACTCAAAAGTGGAAGTGACTTTTTGAACTGTTTGACAGCATTCTGATAGAGTTTTGTAACGTCTATAAACCCTGCAAATTTGAGCAAAATCTGTTGAGAAATGAGCGAGATATGAGGTCTCAAATTTGGCGTCTAGGAAAAAGAAGAAAAAAAAGAATAATAATCTTAACCATCAGAATCAGTAGAAGGTCTTCCGTTGGAACGGAAGACCTTAATAAGAATTGTATCTTTTCGAATAGAAATGGATATCTTTTCGAATAGGAACAACAACGTTATAACATATAAATCACATAATTTTCGAATAAGAATGACAAAATTATCGAATAGGAATGACAAAATTATCGATTAGGAATCACGTGTTTTCGAATATGAATGATATATTTTGGAATAGGAATCATATTATCATATTTTTTCTAATAGGAATAGCAAATGACAAATTATCTAAAAGGAATCACATTTTTACGAATAGGAATAACAACTAATGGAATAGAAATTACATTTTATCGAATATTGATGATATGTTTTAGAATAATAAATTTTTTGAATAAAAATAACAAAAAAGTATAATAATGCAACGTTTTACACGCCATAATATGGTGTTTACATATCCCAACTTATTCCATTCTCAAGGTTATGCTCCGAGTACGATTAATTTTTAAGCCGAGGCAGGCTACCGACAGATAAGTTTGTTACAGGGAGTACTTAAATGCTATGGTCGCTTTGTTGACCTTTTTTTCACAAATATAACCAACCTATCATTGGATTTATTTTGGCCGATGTGTTTCATGCTAATTGTAAGGCTTTTGCTTTTGTTTTTATACTGAATTTGACTGGATGGAATGTTCTGCCTAATGATCAATATATAGGGCTCACTTTCTAGACAGCAGATCCCACCTCTGGAATTTCCAGGGTTTTTTTTTTTTTTGTTTTATGGCCTATTCATAGATTTGTACATGTAATTAATTATGGATGCTATTAATTTTAGAAAGTGATGTCAAAAGTAAGGTTGTCATGCATGAAAATAAATGTAATCGTGAATTGATAAAAATGTACAGATAGGCTTATTTCTATTATTCTTGAAAAGGGAAAAATTTGAAACCTAAATATAAATATATAGATACTAATAATCCCGTAAAACAATTTCCCAGTTCAAAGACAGTCAAACTCTGTAGTGGGGTCAATATTCAACAGGATCAATTTTCAACGTGTTGAGGTCATCAGAGATTAGAAAAAAAAATTCAAACTGTTGAAAAATGACCCCGGGTATAAATTCAGCGACTTTGGGTCTCCATTTTCAACAGAGAAAAAGCACCCCTGGTTCAAAATTCAACGTTGAAAAAATGAACCCCGGGTCAATTTTCCATTCGGGTCAATATTCAACCTTACACCCGGGTTGGGATGTCACGCAATGCTGCAGCCTTGTTAGTAACGTCCTTGCATTGCTTTGTTTAGTAAAGATGATTACCTTTTATGTTATTCAGTTTATCACACATCTATCATTACGACTACATCCGGTAATGGAAAATTCCAAATAAAACAGGAAAATAGGTCTATACAGGAAACTAAAAGTTCATTCATAAATCGTGTGAAAATATTAGTAAAATGGTTACTTAAAGAAAAAAAGAATGATTTCATTTAAAGAAAAATTAAGTTTCTTGTTAATTTCTCTCTCCCTAAATGGTAAGTATAAAAATTACGATAATTAGACTTTCATGAAATGTAATGATATCTTAGTAAGTGGTTATATTATATCAATATATATGACGATTTACTATCCTACATGAATTTTAAAAATTCTGATCTTCTTCCATTTAAATGTATTAATACGGTTTTTCCTCAATGACTTTCAATGTTCTTCTTAGCATACCATGTTTTTGTTTCTATTAGTACAATCAAATTCGTTGAAATTAATTTATTTTGTTTTTAGATTGTTGGATTGTTCATTTTCAATAATATTATAGGTGTATTCTGCATGGAAAATGTTAAAGCTGTAACAATGCTATCAGATGAAACCGACGCATATAAAGCAATTGATGAAGATGATTTTACGTATGTTCAAAGTAAAAATAAGGGACCAAATATATCTTTGAGCATCTTATTAGATCATATGATGACATTAAGGTGTTTCAACATGAAAGTTAGGGGAGGTATGAAATGTTTTGCGTAACATACTTACATAATTTCTATTTCTTGTATGTATCTAATTATTTTATGATCCTTATCATTTAGATTTAAAAGAACATTTAATTTTCTCAAAATCAATTAATACCTATCTTTAAATATTCCCTCCAAAATGAATTATTTGTCTAAGAATAACAAAGAAATTCATGTTGTTATTTATAGGTAATTATGACATTTATATAAGCCAAAATGAGACTATGATAGGACGCTTGTGTAGAAGTTTTTCCATAAAAGATAAACTGCAATCTCACGCCATTCTTTTTTGCTGTGATGAAAACATGAATGGAAAGAAAATAACTATTATGAAAATGGATAACGAGACCCTGAGATTGTTTGAGATTGACATGAGGGGTAAAGTATTCAGATTTGCTAAATATCTTATGAGCAAAACGTATAATAAATGAATAATGAATATTTCAAAACTAATGTTCCTTAATTAACATGGACAATATTATATTCGAAAAATATATTCACGGGATTTAACATGGTTAGTTTGGTTTTCAACTTCACAATGTACATTTATGTATATAACTACAATCGGTGCTTCATTTATGGTAATTTCTTTATCAAGTGAAATATAAATAGTTCCTATTTTTCATGCTAGACTCGGCACAGTTTCAACAAAATCTGCTCAACTGCAGCGAATGTTATAAACACTGTGGTGTATGTCTACAAAACGATAATCAGTGCATATCTTGTTTACAAGATGACCATTGTTCAGAACACTGCAAAGCGGGAGAGTGCAAAATAAATGGAACTTGTTTAGAGTGTCGATCAGGGTACTATGGTTCACAATGTGAACCATGTGAGACCGGTAAATATGGTGAAAACTGTGAACAAGAATGTAAACAGGGGTGTAAATATAATTGTGATAATATCAATGGACTATGTAAAACATGTGAAAGAGGTTACTTTGATCCTCCTAAATGTGATAAATTATGTGATCCAACAGTAAGTGATTGCCAGTCTTGTAATAATGCATTACTCTGTGAACATTGTCAGACGGGGCGGTATGGTGCAGATTGCAGTGAAAAATGTCCACATCACTGTGATTTCTGTGTCAATTCGACATTCTGTACACATTGTAAAGCTGGTTATTTTGGTGTACTATGTAAATCTAAATGCCCCGAGAAGTGTTTCTTTTGTTTGAATGATTCTTACTGTGAAATCTGTCGGACGGGCTTGGAGGGGCCGCTTTGTCAGTGTAGTGTTCATTGTGAAGAGGAATGCTCTGACAAGGGAGATTGTTTGGGAAATTGCTCAGACGGATGGTATGGTTCCAACTGCCACCAGCAATGCTCTTCCCATTGTAAACGATGTGAGGAGTCCCCCGATAACTGTACAAAATGTTATCATGGGTATCCTCCCAAGTGTTCGAGTAAGCATGAACGTATCTTTTGAAAATCGAATTGTGTATTTTCTTCCCTTAATAATATACTTTAAATTCTCATATTCTTATGATACCTTCTTAATAACTTTTATCATAGGTTTTTATCTGAGACACATTTTTGGGGACGTTTGAGTTTTGATTTTAATATATTTCTTTTTTTAGGCGAGAAGCTGTATATTTCTGAGGAAACAATGACCATGATGATGGCAGGAGGGGGAGGAATCCTTGTACTGGTACTCATTACAATCTGTATCATCATCATAATAAAAAAGCTGTGTTCCTCTTCTAATCAAGGAGACATATATGGTTTCATTGAGACTCAAGACATAGAATTGGAACCAATGTCACAGACTAATCCTTACGCTGATCTGGATTCAGCCCAGTACATAAACGATTCCAACAGGATGACGGTGGATGAATTCATACTAAACGTACACCATAAGAAACTGAATCATGCATTTCGAAGAGAATTCAAGGTATTTTGTTAACTTTAATATTAACCCCCAGGTCATTTTTAAAATTATTGTTACTGTTAAACTTTCTGTGCAAAACTACAGCTGAATAAATAATAAATGCAGTATAGTTTGAAAGTTTGATAAAGATATGTGAAATTGATAAAGATTAAATTTAATTAATTTCATCAAATGAAAATATTAATTCTTTTTCTTATCTTTATAAGGTCACACTACCTTTGTTTTTGTTGGAGATTAATTGTTTCTATAGATTTCCTTAAAAGAATTATAAGGATATATGGCGAATTATGTCGCAAGTTTTCTTATGTAATGTAAAAAAATAATAATAAATAACAGCCCTTATAACGAACAACTATATTTCTGACCATGTGTATAAGAAAAAAGACAGTTTGGAGGGAGATATTAATTTTCCTGATTTTATGTAGAACATGATGAAACTGATGTAAAAACACAATAACAACAAAAGCAATTTTAATAAGAGATAAACGCTACATATTTTTAAGATAATTAATAACCTTTTTTATTTCAGAAAATACCATACAGAATGAACGAGCCTTATTATGCAGCTATTGATCCTAAGAATAAATCTAGAAATAGATACAAAAAAGTATATCCATGTAGGTAGTTGTTTTAGTTTGTGTTGACTGAATATGCCATTTTAAGGGGTCTTAATAAGCTTAAGTTGAGAGGTTTAACATACAAAGCAACAAATCAAAAATGTGGAAAAAAGGAACTGTGTAAAAAGGAATTGTGTCAAAAGGAATTGTGTAAAAAAGAATTTCAATACACGTCAAAAAATTTATGCTAAATAAGATCTTTTAATACAAAATTATGTTTTTTATGCTTTGAGCTACACAATGTCATAAATTAAGAATGGGTTTTAGGGGTGAGAAAATTTATTACAGGAAAATTTCGAGCATGGGTGTTAGAAAAGTAGCATATGGTTTTGATCAATTTATATTTCTGAGTACAGACATCGCAATTTTTTTTTTAAAAAGGAACAGAATACTTATAGTGCTTCGTCTGCTACATGTTTAACTGACATTTTGTAAAAAGCTTCAGGAAATACCAGAATCAGCTATCTTTCCCATAATTAATTAATTATTGTGAAAACCTATCTATATTCAGTTCCAATTTCATATCTGAAATCTTAATTTTATATCCGTAATAGAGATCATTGATTATGAGAAGTAACCCCACATGTATTTTGTTCTGATTGTTTTTCAGATGATTTCAGTCGTGTGATCCTTGATACTTCCGATACTCCAGGAAGTTCTGATTATATCAATGCCTGTTTTGTACATGTAGGTTTCAATCACTATTAAAAATATATTATTTGGCATAAATTCCAAGTTTTACCTAGAAACAAATCTTCTTTTTTTTTTAAATTAAATGTACAAGGTTGAATCTTTGACATCTTCCTCCCCTATGTTACGTTTATTTTCTATTACAGGGTTTTCAAAAACAACGAGCATATATAGCTGCACAAGGTATCAAATGAATAAACTTGTATATAAAAAAATATATGTAGCCTGAAAAAAGTTTTTTACTGATACCAGTTTTATTCTTTCCATTTGAAGTTAAAGGTTCATAGACACAGATTTGAAGTTTATATTTTCTCAATTTTTTCTGTATAATATCACAACTTATATGTTGCTATAGAATTTCACACGAAAATAAAGTTAAAAACTTATTTCATCTGGAAATTATTGAAACTACGAATTTGGGAAGCGTTTGATTAACACATCCTTGCACTTTCACAATTTTTAACTTTATCCTTAATACTTAAGAAAAGTAGCAATTTTGTTGTGTATTAATGAATAATATTACATCTATAATCCAGAAAATTCAAAGTAAAAATATGCGGAAGCAAAAACCCACTCACTTAAGTATTGTCAGCCCATGCTCAGTGTTGTGTAGTTGTGTACAGAGTTCAACAAATTGAATACACCCGTGAAACGTAAACTGTTTTTATGAAAGAGGTACGAGCTCTGTTGTTGTTAATGTTTACGTTTCACCGGGTGTGTTCAATTGTTAAACTCTGCACACCACTGAGCACGGACTGACAATACTGGTGAGGGGATTTTGCTTTCTACATTTCTACTATGAAATTTCTGCATTATAGTTTTAATATTTTTCATTAATAATTAACAAAATTGCTACTTTTCTAAAGTAATAAGGATTAAGTTAAAATTTGTGAAAGTGCAAGGATGTGTCTATCAAAAGCGTCCAGAAATTCGAAGTTTCAATAACTTCCAGATAAAAAAAGATTTTTTATCAAATTTTCGTATGAATGCTATAGCAACATATAAGTCATGAAATTAAACAGAAAATTTGAGTAAATATTAGCTTCAAATCTGTGTCTAAGCACCTTTAAAGAACATTTTGCTTCAGCAAATCACAATTTCAAATTTGCCCAGCATCCAAAGATAGGCTAGCAAAAACTTTCAAAAATAAAATGTTTATAAAGTTTTATGAAAATTGTTCTTGTGGCCAGTATGCATCTTACGCTGTTAGCTGAAATCCATTCTGCTTTAGAACCAGTCATTGTAATAGTTTTGTTGTGACTTATTTATAACAAAAAAGTACAATGAAGAACATGATTATTTTTTAAAGACACCTTCACAAAAACTGCAAAAAAAATTTTAAAAGCATTTTGTATTGAAAATTTTATTTTAAATGGAAGATTTATGCACGCTTATCAATTGCATACGAGCACATTTTAAAATAATTTTAAAAACACCCTATACTGATTTGTCAAGATTTGAGTATATTTGGTATAAGAGCTATTGTCGAGGAATCTTTGATTTCATGAATGGATGAATCAGATTTTATTTCTTAACCAAAATTCCGACTGTGCTTCTCAAAAAAAGGTTAATGAACCTAACTTGCACATGGGTAAACAAATCACTATCCACAGAATCGGAGGATATTAAATTTAAAGTGTCAGGTGCTAAAACAAGAAAAGAATTTTTGAAATTAATTTTAATTTTTAAAAACAACATTGTTTTGCAGATAAACTAGTAGTTATATCTATAAAACTATCCATATGTTATCTATAAGATATGTCATTACTTCATAGGTCCGTTTACTGAGGAGACTATTTTAGATTTTTGGAGGATGGTATGGCAGATGAGGAGTGTGAAGATAGTCATGTTAACAAACCTAACAGAGGAAGGAAATGTAAAACAACTTATTACGCAATATAAGATGTCACTTATTTTGTTTTGTTTAATCTCTAATTTTTTTTTCTGATATGCTTTTGTAACTTATATATATATATATATATATATATATATATATATATATATATATATATATATATATATATATATATATATATATATATATGAGATGATATAAATGTATTTGTGAATACTCTGGATATTTTACGACATTTTCGATGTGTATCGACAAATATATATATAATATAATATAATATAATATAATATAATATAATATAATATAATATAATATAATATAATATAATATAATATAATAATTAATTATTATTAAAAATAATCATAAATAATTACATATATATTATTTCAGATGAAGTGTTTAAAATATTGGCCAAATACAGAGGCTTTAATAGGACCCTTCTTAATCAAAACTGAGAGACAAAACACGTGCAGGAGATATATAATAAGACATATCAAACTTAAATTGGTAACGTAACCATTTATTTTACAAATTTTATACTTGAATATAGATGCATGTAGAAATTAACATATCATTTATAAGAGATCAAACTTAATTTTTTTTATTAAACAATTATAATTTTTTGGAAGTATGAAATGTTTTAGAATATAGATGGGAGAACAATGGAGTCTCGTTTTTCGGGACGCTTGTAATCCTGAGCAAATTTTCCGATAAGTGAAACGTTCCATTCATAAATGGTAGACATAAAATTAAATTATGTCCTTTATAAATTTCGTCCGGAAGTTGAAAGGTTTAGATTATTTGCGTCTAGATTACTGAGACTCAACTGTCTGGACTCAAGAATCCGTAGGCGGCATGTTTTTAAAAATAAATCTTTGAATGCCTGGATTGAACGAAAATAATATTTATTAGCTATCTGCAAATTCCAAGGTGATCTCTTCTTACCAGTGAATAGATCAGCACTCATGCAGATCTGATAAAGTACAGTCTAATATCATTTATTTAAAGATTATTTAAAGATTATTGTAACATTACAGGGCATTGAAGAGAGAGTCGTGACACACTATCAATATACAGCGTGGTACACAATAAGAGTACCAACAAACATAGACTCCCTCCTACTTTTTAGAAATCTCGTCATGAGCGATGTTTCCAGTGATGATGGTCCTATTATCGTCCACTGCAGGTAAATTGGTTTACAATGAGGTTTTACTATTAAATAAAACAGAGAAGTACTATCATAACTTCCACATGTCAGTTGTCGTCACGATTTCTCATGCCTCTAACGCAGAAGCTTCCCCTGTATTTCTTATTGTTTTTTTCTAACCTTTACCTACCAGTGCCGGGGTGGGGCGCACAGGGACTTTTATTGCCTTGGATTACCTCCTAAATGAGGGAATAGCGACTGGTTACTTGGATGTTGTTGGTTATATCCAAACATTGAGGCAGCAACGGGCCTATGCAGTACAATCCACTGTATGTCTCTCTCTCTCTCTCATGCACACATAAACACTTGCTAATTTTTGGTTCAAAAATTGATATGAATTGACGTTCAGTGTTTTTTTTTCTCATATAGGATGAGTACATTTTCCTACATGACGCCCTAGTGGAGGGATTTACTAGTGTGCATGAGAACAGGTCTATAGAAATTTCTGACGAACTGTAAAGATGTGTTTGCAAAACAAATGTTATATTTCATATGAAATAGAAAGATGCTTTGACTTCAATCATTTGTTATTAAATTTTCGATAAAAATCTCTATCATGATTTTTAGCTTTAATGGTTGATAACCATCGTAGCCTTTGTAATTGCAAGATATGCGTCGTTTGTCTGCGTGTGTCATTGTTAACCCTTTTACATGCATATACTTTTGAAGATTTGATAAACAGTATTGCTAAGACTAAGACAAATTCCGTGCAATTCTTTCAAAACGTTACAAATCCTATTATTTTGGACCGATTTTAATGGTACACAAGTAGAGAAGCAAACGGTTTCTAATTCTTTACATTGAATTTTGATTTCGACGTACCGTGATGCGACATTTACTAAGTACAGACTCTGAAATTCTTTCAAAACGCAACTCCTACTTACGCTCTAGTATCATTTCAATTATGCTTTGATCACGATATATTACACCAGAAAAGATTTAGTGAATAATGTTTTAAAAATGCTATTCTATTCAAACTAAACTTTTAACTTGAAGTTAAATAAAACTAAGCTAAATAAAATTAGCAGATAAACTATTTTGAAGCTCATAATTATGCTTTTCGGTTTTAGTATTTATGAATGGTATTTGTTGGCTATTAAAAATAATTATTTGAAAGTTTCTCGAAATCTTACTCTTCCTTGTTCTGGTTTGATTTCAATGAAAATGGAATGTTTACAAACGTGCATCAGGACAATTCTGGAGAGGTAAAACTAAATAAATCAAATCCAGGTACTTCTTTTCTCTTTTTAAATATAAATACAAACCAGTACAGATAACGACCAGTATAGATACGATTATATAAGAGGTTTCTGTTATACAATACACTCAGAAGAAATAAAACATTGCTCCCATAACCTCACCCAATATGAAACCTCAAGTGATATACAGGTATATATTTCCTTAAAAAGGTTAATAGATATATAAAAGATATGTGAAAACTGATTGAAAAAAAAAACTAGATGCTGACACAAGACAGTAATACTCGCAAGTAAGTTGAAGTCTTTAAATGTACTCTGGGTAACTAGTGAAGAAGACACAGTGGTTATTCTATAAATTTTCTCAATAAACATGTATTAAATTGAGCATATAGTCCATGGACTCCTTTGTTTGTAGTTTATAATAAATTCAAATATGAAATTAAGGAATTAAATGAAGCGTAAAATGAACGAGTTCTGGGAACCAAAAAGTTTCCGTCCTCCGATTGGTCTCCGGGGTATAAATAAAATTCTGAAACCCTTATTGTATATACACATGACATCACAAATCATATTCTAAAATGTTTCAGGAATAATATTGGTAGAATAACAAAATTTTTCGACCACCAATTTGCCACAGGGTGAAAAAGGAAATTCAAAACCCAATTGCACATCTACATACACCACCAAACATATTCTAAAAGATTATTTGACTTCTGTGTAGAATTTTGAAAACACCCTTTTTTGGTTGAAATTATTCATTTTCCTCCCCAAGTTGTCTGGCAGAGTGAGAATGAAATTTTCTGAAATGTATTACACGTATACAAGTCACCACCAAAACTATTCTTATTCGTGAAATATATGGAGATAACGAACAGTATTCAAGCTCAAAAGTCCATTAAACATTACAAAATAGGTGCAGAACAAACACGGACCTCCAAAGCATCAGAGGTGTGATCAGGTGCCATGGAGGAGTGAGCATCCCAAAGGTAACAGAAGTTCGATGAAGAGGGTTGTTTGATAGGAGAAAAAGCAAGATTACAATAACATACCCAAGCTCTCTTTATAAAGAATCTTCTGACAAAGAGTCTTCGATATACGCCCTGAAATTAATATTGTTTTAAACCAACAAGTTTTAAAATCGTTCAAAGGAACTTTAAAATCACTTGGATATTGTTTGTTATTTTTACTTTTCATCACAAGTAGATACTGAAAGATTTACATGTACTTCCACGTGTGATTGCTTATTAAATTGCAGAACATGTTTTGTATTTCAACAGAACGAGAGACTGTGCCATAACTAAAAAAAACACAATAAAGTTTCTAAAATACATGTTATTTCTATACTACCGTAACCACGAAAAAGTCCTGATTTAAAGCCATGTAAATTTTGGGTCTAATAAACAACACTCTTCCCACAGAACATATCATCAAGTAAAACACTACATGTACATGGAAGGCATTCCAGTGGTAATCATTCTCAATTCCAAAAATGTTCTCTGAAAACTTGACTCATAGCATGCCTGATTTCAGTTAGGTTGATGTCATGCCACAGCGCGGGAAGGGAGGGGGAGGGGGCAACTAAGTACTGTAAATAAGAAAACTATTAAAATTTTGTATAGTTCATCATACCTTTTGCTTGTGTTTTCGTGTACATTGGTGGGTTGGGTTTAATTGCCAGGTAACACCCCCACCCCGCCCGAAGTCCACCAGTATTTGGTAAAAAAATCCAAGTTTCTCCAATGAACTTTCATGTTCTCATCTCAAGGACTGATTCTTGTGATTTCATATCATATACATATATTGTTTTTAAGAACATCTGAACAAGAAGCCCGAAGTCCACCACTATTTGATAAAAGAACCCACGTTTCTCCAATGAACTTTCATGTTCCCCTCTCAAGGACTGACTCTTGCGATTCCATATCATATACATACATTGTTTTTAAGAACATCTGAACAGGAATAAAAAATTAAATCAAAATGAAATTATCTTTGTATCGAATAGATTTGTACCCCAAATGCCAAATGCTAAGACATAGCAACCTAAAATCGAAATTTTACAATGGAGTATCTGTTTACGAGTATTAATTTAAAACCCTTTAAGAAAGCGAACGCAATTTTTGCTGACAAAATCTTCATATTTTTTCTAATGAAAACTTTGCTTAAAAAGCCAACTAAAATAGATTTTCTTTAGTTTTTAAGTTTGTTCCCTTTGTACACTTCTTGGCAAAGTGAGGCCGTTATAGAAGATAGAGTTGTTGAAAATATAAAAGAAAAATTGATTTCAATTGGTCTTAGGGGAAATGGCGCTTCAAAATACTGTGTGGTATTTTTCATGTAAATCATATACGGTACCAATTCTGATGCACCAGGTGTGCATTTCGACAAATTATATATGTCTCTTCAGTGATGCTGAAGCCGAAACGTTGGACATCAAAAATATTTAAATAAAAAAGAAGTGGAAGAGCTGAAAAAAGGTGCCAATGACTGGAGCCAAATACGTCGAAGGATCAGAGCTATGCATGAGGGAGATGATCCATAAGTTTGAAATAAATTTCTAAATTTTACCAAAGCAATCAAATATATATCCGTATTTTCAAGCTAGAACCGAAGTACTATGTAACTGGGCTGTAGACCCTCAGGGACAAACAGTCCACCAGCAGAGGCCTCGACCCAGAGGTCATAATTAAATCATATAGGGTACCGAATTTGACGCACTAGATTCGCATTTCGACAAATTATGTCTCTTCAGTGATGCTCAAGCTGAAATCCAAAATATTTAAATACAAAAAGACTTGGAAGAGCTTGAAAAAAGGAAAATATTCCCGTACATGTACTGAAATATATATGATATATTTTCTTCAATCTATGTAAGTGTTAGTTCCTGGAGTAACTTAAACCCCTGTCACACCGGGACTGCGTCCTCACGGCGATCGCACGGTGTCCATAAAGAATGCAAAACGCCGAGGTGAGCGCAGTAGAGTCTCCTACAGCGCCGTGGCAACGCGGCGAGATCTCCACTGAACGCGGTACGGTCGAGTTGGGTCTCCTAGAACGCCAGGGGACGGCTCGCACTTTGGGCATGCACAAAGTACGCGCCGTGTGATCGCGGTCTGATAAGAACGCAGTAGAAACGTAGTATGATCGCCTTAGCAGCGCAGTGAGATCTCAAACAACGCAGTGGTAGCTCCGCAGGCACGACGTGAAGACGCACATGATCGCAGCATGAACGCAGTTATAGTAGACTACGCTGCCACGAAGACCTCGCGGAGTCCTTGGAGATGTCAGTGCGTTTCTATCGCGCTTTTACGGCGCTTCTAATGAGATTAATCCTCGTGATTTTTTTGACTGCAATTACACAGCGACAGCAAGGAGTTGTCACTGCGATCATTGCGATCCCTTGGCGTTTCTACCGCGTCCGTTGGCGACCACAATGCGCTTTCACGGCGTTGTTAGAGCGTTGTCAGCAAGCTCACAAAACAAGAGCAATAGCCTCAAATTTGATCAGCAATAACTCTTACATATTTGTTGCACTCCTGACCAGGAGCATGGGAGTAGAATTGGGAAGTAAAAATTACACTAGAACTTGTTCTGTTGTTTCTGTGGAGCTGCGGTGGAATTACTTAAGTTTTATAACAACTTTTCAGTGTTTTTATTTTTTTTACATTCATGATAAAATCATGCAAAGAAAAGATAAAAACACATCTGAATTGACATAATTGAAAAAAGAAAGGTTCTAATAATAAAAATATCAATAATTTAATACTAAATTATTAAAATAGATCATTTTTAATTAAAGAATACTTCTTGGCATAAGTAGAAGTCTTTTCATCATGTAACTTGAATCTTTAAAAAAAATTGTTACACTCCTTCTGAATATATCCTGAAGAACGCATTGTAAACGTATTGTGAACGCAGCCAGCGCAGTGAGAACGCCGTGAACGCGAGGTGACAACTCCTAACACGCCGTGAAAGCTCCGCGGAAGCGCAGTCAATCGCAAAGAGATCTCCGTGGGAACGCAGTAGCACGCCGCGAGAACGCCGTAGAAACGCGTGGGTCGCCGTAGGGACGCCGTGACATCTTTGTAACGTTTATTGAACAATAAACAACATAAAGTGTACATCGAACCCGATCATAATACATCATAATACAAGATAGATAATATCGTCACATCCCCTTTCTCAAGATTACTTTTTCTTTTAAAATTACTAATGTACAAACGAGCATTTCCAAATAAGGGAAAATTAAACATTTAATTCACTTTATCAATGTCTTGTATCGTCTATAGTGTCCAAAATTTGAATGGATAAGTTTCAAAATAATTACTGGGTTCATAAAATACAATAACATACAAACAAAAACTAAACTGTCATGCAACTACAAGCAATATGTAAAATGACTAGAAGATTTCTTTGGAAACCTGAGGTAGACAAGGTATTATTATGACCTGATCACTATCTACCTCCACTACACAAAACACTCAACATTGCATACAAAGTCTTGATATTTCTGTGGTGTTTTGATTTCTCGTCCACTCTTTGTATGTCGCTTGCCTGATACATCAGATGTTGCATTTGGTACAGGACACGTCTTGGCTGGTGTGACAGTTTTTTCAACTACTGGTGTGTTCTGTGTTTGTAATGTATTCTGGACTGGGGTTTCCACTTTGTCAATGTCTCTGTTAGTAGACACACTAGTCTCCAAATTGTCTTTATTTACATCAGGGAACGAACTGGTGTTTCTGGGTAAGTCCTCTTTAGAAAATGGTTCCCTGCTAAGCCGTAGATGTTTTCGATTCCTCCTATATACACGTCCATCTTCTGTACGGACTTCATAAGAACGGATATCCAATTGGTCTCTAACTTGCGCTTTTGTCCACGACTTTTCTCTCCCGAATGGACGAATCCTTACAGTGTCTCCAGTATTTAATTTCTGCATTTCCTTTGAGCCGTGGTTATAGTAGCTAGCTTCTTTTCTCTTCCTCTTGTACAGCTTCCTGGTGATCCCGCCTGAATTGTGGGTTTCCAAATGCCTTGCGGATAGTGTAAGTCTAGTCCTGGTTCTCCTGCCAAACAATCTTTCTGCTGCTGAAAGTCCAATGGTCTCATTTGGCGTATTTCTCCAGTCTAGAAGTGCTAAGAAAGGATCTTTCTTGTCAAGAACACATTTGCGCATTAGGGCCTTAGCAATCTTGACAGCGTTCTCTGCTTTTCCATTTGACTGCGGGTAACGAGGAGATGATGTTCTGTGCTCAAACTCGTACTTTTCAGCAAAATCCTTAAATTCTCCACTGTTAAATGGCGGACCATTATCAGATATAATAACATCTGGAATGCCATGACGCGCTATCTGGGCTTTCATTTTGTTTATGACTTCCTTACCAGTCTTGCCATGGAGTCTGTCTATTTCGAAAAAATCTGAGAAATAGTCTGCACAAATCAGGTAGTCATTTCCATCGAACTCAAATAGGTCACAACCAACTCTTTCCCAAGGTCTCTTTGGGATGTCATGTGAAATCATTGGTTCCTTTGGCTGGTCTGGCTGACATGAACTACAAATCTCACAGCGCTGTATAAAATTCTCAATGTCATTGTTCATATTGAGCCAATACACTGTCTCTCGAGCCCTTCTCAGGCATCCTTGTATTCCAATATGTGTTTCGTGAACCCTCTCAATAATGTCTTTGCGAACTCTATCAGGGATCACAACTCTCTCCCCTTTAAATATTAGGCCGTTCTTGATGACGAGTTCATCTCTGAATGGAAAGTAACATTGAACTTTATGTGGAAGTTCATCCTTGCAATCTGGCCATCCTGACTTGATGACATGTTTCAACAATTTCATTGTTTCATCCTCCTCAGATGCTTCTTTTATTTTCATGATCTTTGCATCAGATATTGATATGTAGCTCCTCTGATCAATATCAAATATGCTTGCTTTCTCCATATCTTCTTCTGAGGCTGGTAGATATGCCCTGCTTAAAGTATCTGCTACATACATCTCCGCACCTTTCTTGTAAACTATCTCATAATCAAACTTCTGGAGTCGCAATAGCATCCTCTGAAGTCTTCTTGGTGCCATCACAAGACTCTTCCTTTGGATAATTTCCAGAGGCTTATGATCTGACTCTATTTTGACATGACGCCCATAGGTGTAGTTCTCAAAACGCTCCAGTCCAAAAACTACAGCCAGCAATTCTTTCTCTATTTGTGCATAATTACACTCTGTTTGGGTCAATGCTCTCGAAGCATAAACAACTGGATGTCCATCCTGCATCAAACATGCCCCTAATCCATTCTGCGATGCATCACATTGCAGTATTGTCTCCTTCTTTGGATCAAAGAAACTCAGGACTGGTGATTCCGACAAAATCTTCTTAATAGTGCTGAAGGCTTTTCCATGGACATGCTCATCCCAATGGAAATAAGTGTCACTTTTCAACAAGTCCCGAAGTGTAGAAGTAACTTCTGAAAGATTGGGTACAAATCTCTGTACAAAATTGACCATGCCTAACAATCGCTGTACTGCATGTCTGTCTGTTGGTGTAGGCATCTCTCTAATCGCTTGTACTTTACTCGGATCAGCACTCAGTCCTTGCTTTGAAATAACATGTCCCAGGTAAGACACAGAATCAAGTCCCAGTTTTAGTTTGTCAAGGTTCAATTTGATGTTCTTCTGCTTACATCTGTCCATCAACTCAATCAGCTTTTTATTGTGGTCTCTAATTGCCTCTTCATCTGTATTGCCGCAACCATAGACAAGTATATCATCATGAATTGCTTTCGTTCCATTCAAACCCTCAAGTGCCTCATCCATTCTTCTCTGAAATTCTTCAGGTGCTGGTGCTATGCCAAAAGGCATCCTCAACCAACGATAACGTCCCCAGGGGGTTCCAAATGTTGTTAAGAAACTACTGGTTTTGTCGAGCAGGACGTGCCAAAATCCATCCTTAGCATCCACCACTGAGAAGATCCTGGCCTTCGTTAAATCTGGTAGGATATCTTCTATTGTTGGAGTGGGGTAATGATTCCTCTGTAGTGCTGAATTTAGGGGTTTAGAATCGATACAAAGTCTAATTGCCCCACTTGACTTCCTTGCTACTACCATTGACGATATCCAGTCAGTTGGCGTTGTTACTGGAGTGATAACTCCAAGTTTCTGGAGCCGATCAAGTTCCTTTTTTAGATCTGACTTGAGTGATAGTGGCACTTTCCTGGTGGGAATCTTTGTTGGCGGCACCGTAGAGTCAATTCTAAGGTGTAACTCTCCTTCAAGTTTCCCAAGCCCATCAACAATGTTGGATACTGTTGTTTCAAATGTTCTTTGGTGAGAGGCTCTGTAGTGTCACTACTCTTTCCTGCAACCTGTGCAACAAAGTTCTGTTCATTAACAGTGATGAGTTTCATCGATTGTATAGCCGATACTCCAAGAATTGGATTAAGTTCTGTTCCTGAAACTATCACAAACTCAATGCTGTACTTCTTCCTGTTCCTTGGATTACGAACAGTTAATCTTCTTTTCCCCAATGGCTTCGTCTCACTCTTGTTGTACATCACTAATGTCATGTTAGTTTCTGTCAGGTTCTCATGGTCTTTACAAAGTTTCTTATACACCGACTCAGGTAGAATATTTACACTAGATCCACAATCCAACTGGAACTGTACGGTTTGGTCATTGATAATCATCTGGGCTGTAATTTTCTTTTTCTTGTTGACACTGTGCACTTCCTCGACAGTGAGAACGTATTCACATTCACTCGATGATGAATAATCATTCACATCATGCACTGATCTCTTCGTAAATGGCTTTCTGCCAGGTCGCAACTTCTTCTGCTGCTTAGTGCTCCCTTGTTTACACACTCGAGCAAAGTGATTCTTTCGTCTTTCATGATGAACACTCTTTGCCATAAGCCGGACAATCTGCCTTATCTTTGCGGTGTCGTAAACCACAGTACTCACAACTTACTTCTTGTTTGTCTCTAGGACCCTTCTTCTGTTTGTCCAACACTGGTTTAGTTGTTTTCTTTACAAACTGTACTTCTTCTATCACTCGAAGTTGTGAACTAGATTTCTCACTGGCTCTACAAATGTCAACACAACGTTGTAAGTCTAAGCCTTTCTCTTGTAACAGTTTCTTTCTTGTATGATTGTCCCGTATCCCGAGCACAATCCTATCTCGAATCATTTCTTCTTCTAGACCGCCGAATCTACAGGTTTTTACAAGCGTACGTAATGAAGCAACATAGCTGTCAATTGTTTCGTTCATCTCTTGCTCTCTTTTGTTGAAAGTATAGCGCTCGTATATCACATTTGTCTGACCTATACAAAAGTCTTCTAGTACTTGCAGTACTTTGATTATGTCTTTCCGATCTGCATCGTTTTCAAACTTAAGACCATCATATACTGACAATGCATCTGCACCGATACACGTTAACAATGTTGCTACACGTAATTCATTGTGTTTTTCTTTTAGTCCCGTGGCAATTTTATAATTCTCCCACACCCGTTTAAAATGGCGCCAATTTGTGGCCAAGTTACCTCGAATGTCCAATTTCGCCGGAAAAGGAATATTCGTTGGTACATACACTTTCTGTGGGACGGCTGCAACTCCCTCTGCTTGAGGTTCCCCGTTTCCTTCATTCATCCCGAACAGGAGGGAAAGCATTCACCAAAACGTGGTGCACATGTGTACTTCTGACACCATGTAACGTTTATTGAACAATAAACAACATAAAGTGTACATCGAACCCGATCATAATACATCATAATACAAGATAGATAATATCGTCACAATCTTCACATTGTGAAAATTTTACAGAAATTTGTTCAATTTCCCTGCGATTCCACTGCGATTTTAAAAATTTAACAACGCCGTAATAACTCCGTGTGGACGCAGCTTGGTGTGACAGGGCCCTTAAGGGTCACAATATGGGGAAGAGGGAGGGGGCAAAAAATGTATCATTTGTCCATTTCAATCAATCAATAATATACTACACATCAAAAATGTTACTTTACATGGAGGGACATACAATTTGTTTTTGGTACTGAAGGATGTTAAATGTGATCCATGTTAGTGTTTTTGTCCCTGATCAATTACATATTCCACTATTTAGTATATTACGTTGTATACTACATTGTAATAGTTCATGTTGAACTATTAACATACTCACACATACTTTACATAGCGCCAGAATTAATGTATGACTTCCGCATACATGGATTGTATCTATAGGAGGAAACAATCCCATTGCAGTTTTGTGTAATGGCTCTGCATTCTGAACGCTGATAAAAAGAACAAAATCATTATGACAAATAGTAGTATCAGTGACTCTACTGAAAGATCAACGCCAACGCTGTGTTCAGGTAGGGAAACTTTATGCACCTTGTGTATTACTTAATTATGCAAAGTGGTGGTTGAGCATAAACAATCAGATTGTAAATTATATAGTTTGATATATGGCAAATGTATTGTGTACGAAAGAGTATGGAAGTCTGTCAGTGCTTTTAAAAATGATCACACAGAAAAGAGAAATCCCATTAGCACCCTACAGCCTAAAGCATGCTCATGACATAGTTGTTTCCTAGAAGAATATTTAATTAAAGTTAATCCTTGACGATTACATCAAAAATAAGTTACATGTACATAACAATACCAGATGGTGCAATCAAAAATAAAAGAAAACCATTTTGTTTGAGAAGAATTAGAAGAAACTCATGATGTGGAGATGTGGCATATAAATGATTTCTATAATATCACAATCATATCTGTGTTGAACAAAAAGATGCATTAAAAGCTATTATGAATCGCTCTTATCTGCCTACAAGGTGGTACAATTCTGAACGAGTTTATTGAAACAAAAACATACCTATTTTGAAAGAGTTTGCTTATAAGTATTTTATAATTTTCATCTTATTCCTCACTTCTTTTTTAGTTAATTACATTTCTATACTCATTGTAAATAATTTCCTTGGCGAGAAATCGACATTTGCAACCTTCATTAATTTTTGTGACAGATACTTTGTGGCATATAATAGATATAAGACATCAAATTTTAAAATCAATGTAGCCTGTATCTGAACTGATCAGCAAATTCATAAACCTGTTGAAAGGCTAATAAAAGAGATTTATAGACACGAGTTATAGTTACATAATGATGGAGCCAAGGATCAGGTGAGGTCTCTGTTGCACACGTGGGTCTAATAGCATTATATTGTCTTTATTTCAGATCCTGTGGGATATAACGAAGATGAGAATTCTGAGACTACACTGATTGTGTTCTTGGTTATATCCTCTATTCTAGTTCTTATTTCTGGGGCGCTGTTACTTCACAAGTAAGTTTAAATGAATACAGTCTCAAAAGAGATTCAAATACAGCCTATGAAAACGCCTTGTCTGTACTCTGATAGAAATTCTTTGATCCATTAACTACTTAGTAATGCACAGTAGCTTAATTGCTAGCGCTCTCGAGCGCTAGCAACTACGTTAGTCTATTTTCCTGGAATACGCATGCTTGACTTCGAGGTAGGGCATTCTGGGACCTGTAGATAAACTGTACCATGTAAATTTCGTTTAATTATCTGAAAATACATATGATCTAAAGTTTTGTGCTTTGTTGTCTAAGCTGTATACAAATGTTAAAAAAGTAACAGTTAAACTTAGGTCTTATAATGCCAAGACTGAAGAGATCGGTTAATTCTAAAAGAATATTAATAACCAAGTATTTCTTAACTTCTTTCTGGCAAGCTCGGCAAACAATCTCGGATATATATGTTGCCAACTTGATTAAAATCTTGGCCTTGTGCAGCAATCTATGTGAGCGGATCAAAGGATCTGATTTTAATCAGATTGTATATGTTACCGGAAAGACCCGAGAAGATGCGATTGCTACAAAACAGTACCACACTGGATAATTTTAAACTACGTGTCCATACCTAGGTTCTACTGATCTCTTATATTTCACCTCAAAATTGAAATAACAGTCAGCTACAGAATGCTTAAAGCACAGTTAATGACTTATGCCATCGCCGATGTGAAGCCCACTTTCACCATTCATTCTGAATTGAGACACCCCCCTCCTTCCTCCACCTTACACAGTGCACCACTGCGCCTATTAATAATTAATTGATTCAGCAACTTAACAAAGGGTTCAGATATCTAATTCTTTGTTTTATGATGGCTAACGCGCTAGCTCACCTATCTTTTTTTAAAAGATAAGCTTGTAAACAATATACAGTAACCGTATTACGTTTGGCTGTGTATTCTTTTCAGTGTTTTGGCGGAAAACAGCACCCGCTATATCAAGTACATAGCTAAATGTCTTTATATATATTAAAATATCTAGCACATTCAGAAAGGCACTAAATCAAATCTTTGCTAGCTTGTTAAACATGTATTTCCTCCAAATATCCAACACGCTTAACATAATACATTATTTTATAGTTTTTTCGGAGCTCAACACTTGCTAGATCGAGCTCTTTGTAAAATGTGTAAGAAGATAGGGGGCTGACGGGTGACTACCAGTTAGTCAATGAAAATATTATTTTCAAAATTCAATTAACAGTTATGGAATAAAACAACTACGATCAAATGTAATCTTATCAATTCTTATGATACAGATATGCTTCAATTTAATTTGAAATAAAACTAAATTGTAACTTCCCTGTTCTTCTTCTTACATTTGAAGAGTACATTGGTAAGATTAACTCAATATTACTTTGGTATTGGAAATAATTGAAAAAATGCTTTTTTAAGTAAGTTAAAGCGGACACTTTGTAAATAGATTATGGAGCCTAAGAATGCTAAGGAAAGGCGAGGTAGACATGGTTGTAACATATGCTTCTGCAGAGGAGGGTTCAAACATCGATCTTCTCCCGGAAAACCTTAGGAATGGTAACGTTATTTATGAAGAAGAAATCGGTGATAATGATGTAGAAGAAGAGGAAAATGTTACAGTAGAGTATTCGAACCTTCAATCGATGAGGATATCGGTAGAGGAATTTATACGGAGTTTTCCAGAAAAGAAAGCCGATCATTCTTTGGAAAAGGAATTTAAAGTAAATGACACATAATTTTGCACACAATTAAAAGTTATTTACAATATTTTTGCATATATAATTTTAAACCCGATGAAATATTTTGTTTTGTTTTGAAATGTTCTATGTTTGAATTTATTTCTAGGATTTGCCTGACGGTTTATTGGAACCATACTCAGAGGCTTTAAAACTTGTCAACAGGAGGAAAAATAGATATAAAACAATCTACCCTTGTAAGAATTAGTCGTTACTTTCGATTCGAGAGACAAAAATGAATTTTTGATAGTTAGTCGTTACCTTCGATTCGAGAGAGGAAAATCTAGACGACAATAATTTTTTGATCTTTAATATTATGCGAGAAGAATGTTATTTTTTATCTGTCGTTTAGACGATCACAGCAGAGTGGTACTGGATAGAACGGATGACCCAGAGAAATCGGATTATATCAACGCTTCCTACATAGCAGTATGGTGTTCTTTTTAAATAACTTTTACATTCATCAAACAAGGAAGAATTAAATTCATATATAAATAACTTGTTTAATTGACTTTTGAACTATAGAGAAATAATTATAGAATATGTTTCCTCCCTTCGAGGAGAGCTTGTTGATTTTAATTATTTTTTTTAATTTTCTTTTCCGTTGAAATGAAATCAATTTCAAATACAAAGAGGAAATGTTTTAATGATATTAGATTCAAATTTATGCACTCGATATTATTTTAAATACTATGCATACTTTGCATGTTCACTATTTTCTACTGGTTCAGATAATTTTAATTCTATATTGCTCGATAAAAATATAATGACAATTATTATGTATACTATTATACACAAGGGATACAAGAAGGAAAAGGCCTACATCGCAGCCCAAGGTAGCTTCTTTATACTAAAATGACATCAAATAAACATTTTTGAAAAACGATTTATCTAATAAACATATATATATATATATATATATATATATATATATATATATATATATATATATATATATATATATATATATATATATATATATATATATATATATATATATATATAAAATAACATATATCTATCTATCTGGCTGGCTGGCTGGCTATCTATCTATCTATCTATCTATCTATCTATCTATCTATCTATCATATAAAATAAACGGTTTGATTAAAGTTATTCACAAAGAACTACGCACGCTAACTCTCGATTCCCGCCTACATTTTACACCCATTAAATTCAATACTAATGGCAATTCGACCGTAAAATCTTTGTTGAATGCAAAGAACAGTTCAATGGTAATTGTCTGATAATTTTAATGCAAGTGTTAAATAGTTAATTACCCCTAATTCAAGCTCTTAAATAAGGGGGGTAGACGATATTTTCCATTGAAATCGGGCTTTAAAGCATCAACACATTTTAAAATATCCTTGGATATGAATAAATGTTCCTTAAATCTTTTCTTATGTTTTACGCATATAAAATTAAACATATATTATTAATAAAATACAATGTTTTAGTTGTAAAATCTTTGAAATTGGTGAAAAATAAGCATTTTTGTAGTTTTTTGTCTGTAAACATATATTCCCCCCGTGAAACACAAAAAGCTATGACATGAATTTGTGAAATGACAGTCCATATTACCTGTAAAAAGGAATTTTTGTTTCACGGGGGGGGGGGGGGGAGATGTTTTAAAAATATTTTCCGTTTTCCGTTGATTTCTATAGTGAAAAACACGAGTTTTACCCAAATTATAGAGTTATCTCTCTTTGTTTTCCTAAAGAAGTAATGTTTTATGAAAATCCCTATAAATATCTACATAAATATAAAAAAACCATTCAAATGTGTTAACTTTTGAAAATTGACTTGGAGGTGGGCGGGAGAACAATGCTATCGTTCGCAGTTCTTCAATTGCTAAATTGATTACTTAGTACCTTGTATACATATTTTTAGGACCTTTTACAATGGAAACCATAGAAGATTTCTGGACGCTTATCTGGCAAACAGATTGTACTAGAATTGTCATGTTAACCAATTTATATGAGGGCGAAAAGGTATTTACGATATGTGTTTGTATTGTTAAAATCATTATATGCTTTTTTAAAAGAAAAAAAGATTACTAGAGAACAGCCATATATTTTTTAGGTCTTAATGAATACTCTTTGATTGTCATTATCAGATTGGTCTTTCTTGCCATTTACATGATAAATGATATATGATTATTATCCTTTTGGCAGATAGTCTATGTATTTTTAGCTCACCTGAGCTGAAAGCTCAAGTGAGCTTTTCTGATCACATTTTGTCCGTCGTCCGTCTAGCTGTCTAGCTGTCCGTCCGTCTGTAAACTTTTCACATTTTCGACTTCTTCTCCAGAACCACTGGGCCAATTTCAACCAAACTTGCCACAAAGCATCCTTGGGTAAAGGGGATTCAAGTTTGTTCAAATGAAGGGCCACACCCTCTTTCAAGGGGAGATAATAAAGAATTAGTGAAAAATTAATAGCATCTTTTAAAAATCTTCTTCTCAAGAACCACAGGGCAAGGAAAGATGAAACTCGTGTGGAAGCATCCTCAGGTAGTGTAGATTCAAATTTGTTCAAATCATGACCCCCGGGGATAGGGCGGGGCCACAATGGAGGATCAAAGTTTTACATAGAAATATATAGGAAAAACCTTTAAAAATCTTCTTCTCAAGAACAACACAGCCACAATTCGTCATATTGATGTGGAATCATCCTCAGGTAGTGTAGATTCAAATTTGTTCAAAGCATGACCCCCGGGGGTAGGGTGCAGCCACAATGGGGGATCAAAGCTTTACATAGGAATATATAGAAAAAAAATCTTTAAAAATCTTCTTCTCAAGAACAACAAAGCCACAATTAGTAATATTAATATGGAAGCATCCTCAGGTAGTGTAGATTCAAGTTTCTTCAAATTATGACCCCCGGGGGGTAGGGAGGGGCCACAATGGGGGATCAAAGTTTAACATAGAAATATATATAGAAAAAAAATCTTTAAAAATCTTCTTCTCAAGACCAACAGAGCCACAATTAGTCATATTGATAATGAATCATCCTCGGGTAGTGTAGATTCAAGTTTGTTCAATGCATCCTCCAGTAATAGGGTGGGGCCTTAATTGGGATCAAAGTTTTAAAAAAGAACATATGTATAGGAAAATCTTTAAAAATCTTATTCTCAAGAACAACAAAGCCATGATTAGTCATATTGATATGGAAGTATCCTCAGGTAGTTTAGATTCATGTTTGTTCAAATCATGACTCCCCCCCCCCCCCCCCAGCTGGGTAGGGTGGCAGACATCTTAATAATTCCTTTTTCAAGAACAGCAAAGCCATGCATGATTAGTTATATGAATATAAAAGCATCCTCAGAAAGTTTAGATTCAATTTCATTCAAAACATTTCACATGGGGGTAGGGTTTGCCTAGAACAGGCGATCAAAGCTTTACATATGAATATATAGGAGAAGAAATCTGCTGATGAAGAACAGTAGGGCCATATTGACTCAGGTGAGTGTTGTGGCCCATGGGCCTCTTGTTTTATTTTGTGGTAATTTTCAGATGAAGTGCCTGAGGTATTGGACAGAAGACACAGACACAGAAATAGACATAGGGCCTTATCACATCAAACTGGACACACTGGATGAATATGACCGCTATACTATAAGATATCTTATAGTCTCAAAAGATGCAAGTGTTACAAACAACATTTACTACTGTATAAACATTGCTTGATATAATTATCAGTTTTGAATATCAATTGATGAAGTCTTTCTCTATCTTAACAACTTACTATTTATACTTGCTTAGAGATTGGACCACTATATTTTGCATTATCAGAATTCAAACGTTGGGAATCTGACCAAGATTTTTAAAAATCAAATATTTATTTATATTAGAATGATGAAGTGAAGCGAGTAACACAGTTCCATTTCACGACTTGGTCTGATAATTCTGTTCCGGAGGACTTGGCCTCTTTAATTTGTTTCCGGAATTTGGTGCGAAATGGACTGACAACATCTGATGGCCCAATTGTTGTTCATTGCAGGTAGGACAGAAAACTGTTGATTTGCATAAACAAATATTTTGAGGGAATAAATCTAGGAATAAAACTTAAAGAACTTATCGCATGATCTTTCAAAAATCGTAATTTTATGAAAATTATGAATACAATAAACGTTGTTGAAAGCATATTTTAAGAGATATTGAGAGTGAAATTCAAATACGGCAATATGCATATTTCAGTCGGATTTCGGCGAAATACTGCTCTGACGTCATAGGCGACAATTGGTGATAGAGAGATGAGAATATGCACACTATTAACGGAGTTATCAATGACAAATGCAGCTAAATTACGAAAAATGCTGAAAAAATTAATTCCTTATACGCTTTTCAATTACTATAGAAACATTAATTAGTTCTAATGTATAAGGATTTTAAGATATTTTCGTTTTTTATTCAAAACATTTAGAACCTGTAGCTCTAATTACGGCAATGTTTCGTGATCGGGAAATTATTTTTCAAGATCGCCATCCTTTAAAAACATATGAAGACTTGCATAAATTAATATAATATTATATACAAAACGAAGAATAACAAAGTTATATAATGTTTAATTTGTAAAACAAATAAGTTAATACATGTGATAAGATGACAAATCAAACTGCATTGTTATGGCGAGTTTCTTCGTCTTCGCTGAGTCTCCCTCGCTATCGTAGCTGCTATTTTTACAATATTAACAGATTTTTCAGATATTTTCTTGCTGACAATTTAACATATAAGGTTGAATATTCAATTTTATATCGATAAAATAAGTGATTTGGTCGTCCACAACGCAGAAAATCAGATCGTATCGCGTATATTTTAGTAGGATTAATGAAGAGCTGATCCGCCATTGTCGCCTTTGACGTCACAGACAATCGCATCATCTCGAGTCTTTCCGTCGAAGGTCGGAAAAACAACCTCGAATGTATTAACATCACCGGATGTTAAAAATTTATACAAGATGGAGTCGCTTCCTATTTATACAAGCATTGGAAAGATAGAGTTAGAAGTCATTCCTGTAGTATATTTTAGATAATATCTTTACATTCAATAAAGTTGAGCTCCAAACTCTACAGATAACAGGTCTCCCTACATTTATTTCAAAGTTTATGAAAAGGGGGGTTGTCATGGACGCCTATGTAACACATTCGAGGTTGTTTTTCCGCTTGTCGGAAAGGCCCGAGAAGTTTCGATTGACGTCACAGAGTCACGTGATCGCTGTCTAATTAACTTAGATTTTCAATTCAGGGGTTTTCGTTTGAGTCAATAATTAGTTAATTACCATGATTTATCCACAGTAAAAACACAGAATTTATAAATTGTAGTCATAAGGAACGTAATACGCTTTTAATTTCAAATAATTAGAAACATGCGATAAGTCCTTTAACGAGGTTCGCTCCTGAGCTTTTGAGCAGATTTATATCTTAACGTATATTTCAAAAATTCTGCATAAAGTTATAATTCTTACAATAATTTTAAATTTTATAATGCCAATTAAACTATATTCAGTTAAAATTCCATGATTAAATTCCATACCAAAAGCATTAAGTGAGGAACTATATTTTGTGGCGGAAGGTTTTTTTTAGAAGAAAATGATCATTTTTTTCTCATTCGAAGTATTTAAAGTATGCTAAGTTTGGATTCCTATTTTTACATGCAGTCTGCACACAGAGTTATTTTGTGCAGTGAACTGTTTTATACTGGTCCTTAATTATATGTTAAATAAACTTTCATGAATTCTATCATCAAATTTGATAAATATAGCAAATACATTGTGAAAATCAAGAAAAAAATATCACTATTTTAATCTTAAAATTAGCACTATTTTAGTAATATCTAAAAATTAACATCACAGACCCCCACTTTTTATTTTATTTTCTAAATATATAAGATACTTTTAACCATTCCTCTTAAAGTCAGTAAAATGTCATTACTTTCAAATGATATTTTTGCTTGTAAAATTTTTAATGCCAGAAAAATGAAATTTTTTGAGTGCAAAAAGGTCAAATAACTGAACATGCGGAGTAATTTGAAAATTTTTTTACTTGTCACAAATTTTAATGTGTCTATTCAAGATGAAATAAGACTGTATTTGTTCCCATAATTTATTTGAATAAAAAATATTGGAGGAAAAACTTTAAAAACTGATTTATTTGAAAGATGTATTTACAGTGCAAAAAGGTCAAACTAAATGCTCTGTAGTGCCAAAAGAAGCGCATTGACCCCCATTTTTTGGTTTGATTTTTAATTAAGCTATGTGTCTAAATTCTAAAAATATACTTGATTAAAAATTCACATTACTTTTGATGGCAGGATCCAACTTCCTTAAGTACCTTATGCTTTTGCACATTCACTGAACTTTAAGTGCAAAATGTTGAAATAAATCAATATTCAAAAGCTTACAATGTATTCAACATTTAAAGTTGAATGAATCGTACACTTTAATTTTGATGAACATTTTGAAGATATTTAAGTTGTAAGAAGAAAATATATTTATCGTATGATTGTATCATTTCTAGCTTTCTGACTGATTGAGATCCAACATTGTAGAAATCATACTAAATGTATTTTATTTTCTTAACTGGAAAAAAAAAATAGATCAAAAACTTCAAATTTGATACGATCAGTAATGAAAGGTTAATTCACTAGCACCCGACTTCCAGGTGAATATAACATTAGTTTTTTTTCTTCATCTTCGACCTCAGTGAATATTCTACTACTCAGGTAGCTTAATCATTAAATTAAAAAAAAAAAACCCAGCAATAATTGTATAATGTCCTCTATTTAATGACTAAATGTATTTTATTTTCTTAACTGAAAAAAAAATAGATCAAAAACTTCAAAGGACGAGTGCACTTATGGGCCCCGGTAAAATGTGAAAAAATGAAGAATCAAATTAAGCATAATTTTTCATCTCAGATCATTAATTGATATTTAAACCATAAGATTCAACAAATTTTATCGGTGAAATTCATGAATATACAAAGAGCAAAGTCATACAATGTGGTAGGGGTCAGCCGACATTTGTGACTTTCTATAGTAAATCGAGGACTATCATTCATTTCAAAGGTTTTGTTTACTGTCAGTCTAACGTTGTACAAACTTGTGCGAATGACAAAAAACTCATTATACATTTATAAAACTTGTGTGAAAGTAGGAAATTTGTACAAGATTAGGCTTGTACTTAAAATATTAAAAATATATAAAAAGTTCAATGTTTTTCCAATAGCAAGCGAGAGCTATTTACCTGTATTACCTTTGTTGAACCCACCCGTGGAATAAATTATTTAAAATACCGGTAGTCACGTGAGTTCTACCCAGGTAAACATTCCTCAAAGGTGCTCACTGTAAATTGAAGATAGCCACGTTTTGCATCATTATATCGAAGTCGTGCCGCATAGAGAAATTTTATGTATTTGGTTTTATGAACACGGGAGCGTTAGGAGAGTTTAGCGTCGTTAAAATGTCATCGATCATACATGAAAGCGTCAAACATTCTTAACATTCATGCAAGACAATGGTACCGGTAATGAAAGCCACCTAAATACACTTTTTTCATTTTAAAATTTAAAGGAATTAATGTTTTGAATTAAAATACTTACTGTATTATTTCAAATGCAAGCGTGCAAATTTCTTAGTTTGATGGCTACAGGCATCTTTACAACTTCATTTGATTTTTTTTCTCAGGTAAAATAGCGCAAATTATCATTCAGAAAACGCGCCCGTCAGTGATCCACCATCAGATTGTTCAAGTGTCCGATTTAAATGTCTCCTCCCCTTGATTTAAATAAACGAAACTCAAAGAGGTTCGGTACGACTTTTCCGGATTTTGGGGTATGTATAGGCATTTAAAAATCTTCATTTGTTTCATATCCATGCTGATTTAGGTGATGTTTTAACGTGATTTTAATTAGAAATATCCACTTTTGTTTAGCTATTACCAAAAAAGAACAATTTGGTAATATATTCCAAAGTAAAACGGCACTGAAAAAGGGCCCATTAATCATTGCTTAAGTGCACTTGTCCTTTGATACTATCAGTAATGAAAAGTTATTTCACCAGCACCCGATTTCCAGGTGAATGTAACATCAGTTTTTTTCCTACATCTTCGACCTCAGTGAATATTCTACTCCGCAGGTGGCTTAATCATTAAATTAAAAAAAACACAGCTATAATTGTATAATGTCCTCTATTTAATGATGGTAATATACTTTATTTCCTAGCGCCGGAATCGGGCGCACGGGAACTTTTATTGCGCTAGACTACATGTTAGATGAGGGGACTGTAGATAATTATGTAGACGTCAAGTCGTACGTTGCTTCCCTCCGCCAGCAAAGAGCAAAGTGTGTTCAGACATATGTAAGTATACTTTATTAGATGTGATGATTTTCCAACTTTCTCCTTCTCCCAATCACTTTATTTCTGTTTCTCTGTCTTTCATTTAGAAAGAAGAATTTACGGAGAATCATTTCTTTTTAGCTCACCTGAGCCGAAGGCTCAAGTGAGATTTTCTGATCACTTTTTGTCTGGCGTCCATCTGTCTGGCCGTCTGTCTGTCTGCCTGTCCGTCTGTAAACTTTGAACTCAAGAACTACTGGGCCAATTTCAACCAAACTTGCCACAAAGTATCCTTGGGTGAAGGGGATTTGTTCAAATGAAGGGCCACGCCCTCTTTCAAGGGGAGATAATAAAGAATTAGTGAAAAATTAATAGCATCTTTTAAAAATCTTCTTCTCAAGAACCACAGGGCCAGGAAAGATGAAACTCATGTGGAAGCATCCTCAGGTAGTGTAGATTCAAATTTGTTCAAATCATGACCTCCAGGGATAGGGCAGGGCCACAATGGAGGATCAAAGTTTTACATAGAAATATATAGGAAAAATCTTTAAAACTCTTCTTCACAAGAACAGCAAAGCCATGATGAGTCATATTTATATGGAAGCATCCTCAGGTAGTGTAGATTCAAGTTCGTTCAAATCATGACCCCTGGGGGTAGGGTGTGGCCACAATGGAGGATCAAAGTTTTACATAGAAATATATAGGAAAAATATTTAAAAATCTTCTCAGGAACAGGAAGGCTCTTATTGGTCATATTTATAAGGAAGCATCCTCAGGTAGTATAGATTCAAGTTTGTTCAAATCATGACCCCCGGGGGTAGAGTCGGGCCACAATGGATGATCAAAGTTTTACATAGAAATATATAGGAAAATTTTTAAAAATCTTCTTCTCAGGAACAGCAAAGCCCTGATTGATCATATTTATGTGGAAGCATCGTCAGGTAGTATAGATTCAAGTTTGTTCAAATCATGACCCCAGGGGTAGGGTGGGGCCACAACGGAGGATCAAAGTCTTAAATAGAAATATATAGGAAAATATCTTCTGAAGAACTGCAAAGCCATGATTAGTCATTTTGATATGGAAGCGTCCTCACGTAGTGTAGATTCAAGTTTGTTAAAATGATGACCCCCGGGAATAGGGTGGGGCCACAATGGGGGATCGAAAATTTAACATAGGAACATATAGGAAAATTTCTTTTTCTCAAGAACTGAAAATCATGTTTAGTCATTTTGATATGGAAGCATCACCAGGTAGTGTAGTTTCAAATTTGTTCAAATGATGACCTCTAGGATACTGAGGAGCCACAATGGGGGATCAAATTTTTACAAAGGAATATATGGGAAATATTTTTTTAAATCTTCTCAAGTACAACAAGCCATTTGTTATATTGACATGGAAGCATCATCAGGTATTTTAAAACTCAAGCCCCCCCCCCCCCATCCGTAATCTTTTCAATACTGAACTGATTTGTGCTTTTGCCTAGCCAATGTGCTCAGGTGAGCGATGTGGCCCATGGGCCTTTTGTTTTTCATTTTAGGAGCAATACGTTTTTCTTCATGAAGCACTGATCGAAGGATTGCAAAATTCACGACAAAGCTGTTTATCAATACTGTAAAAGAACATGAACATAAAAATGCCCATCTGGAATCAATAAAAACAATTGTAAAATACATATCAAACTTAAAGACTCTCTTGTAGAAATATGACCAGGAGTCATTTTTCGACGTCGAAAAATGGCCCATATCCATAAAAATTTGTAAATACGGTAAAACTTGTTTACGATAAATTAAAAACAAGGTTTTGTTATCAAACATAACTGCTTCTCAAATAAAAACTCAGAACTCAGAAATTTTTACACCTTGTGATTGGTCATGAACAAAATTACTTTGTAAAACGTCACTGATTCTTCACATAAGTACTCTGATGTTGATATTAAAATTCTGCTGGAGTTCCTGATTGACAACATTTATGTAGTCTTCGGAGACCAAGTCCTCTAACAAACTGTTCGAATCCCGGAATCTCGACGGGTACTAATTATGTTCCTTATCAGCCGATCTGTTTTTTATATTCCTATGAAGCAGAATTTATTCAAAAACTTGTATAAGTTTGTGTAAAACTTGTATGTTTTTATACAAAAACCTACATGAAATACGTGCATTGGCCTTCGTCTCGACAATCAGATATATCGACGACGTTTTTCAATAAACAATTGTTATTTCCATTCATATGTCGACTCGATTTATTTATGAATTTGAAATAAAAGTCAGCCACATCCGCTTCATATTTGGGTGTTTTACTGACTATAGACGACAAAGGCCAACTAACAACTAGACTGTGTGACAATTGAGATGACTTCAGCTTTTCCATCGTCAACTTTCCTTATTTGTGTAGTGATATTCCCTTATCACCAGCTTTTTGGTGTTCATGTCTCTCAACTTATTCGCTACTCCAGAGTACTTTGAGTACGACCAATATTTAAATCGAGGCAGGTCACTGACATATAAGTTGATGTTATCGTATTTCAAATACCTCATTTAAAGTCAGAATTCCGCAAATTCTATGGTCGTTATAATGACCTATCATTGGGTCGTATTTTGACTCACTTGTTTCATACACATTGTTCGGTCTTTGTTTTGTATTTAATTTGACTACGGAATGTTTCGTCTTCTTACAGCTAAATTTAGTCATGGCTTTCCATCACCAACTTTTCCTCATTAATTTGAAGATATTCCACTATCACCATTATACGGTGTTAATGTCTCCCAACTTATTCGGTACCTTATAATGCATATTCTTACTACGATCAACTTTTTAAAGAGGTAGGATACTGAAAATAAGTTGTTATTACAGGTCTTTCAATACCTTCATAAATGATAATCAATAAATTTCAAAATTTCTTTGGTCTTTATCGTTACCTTAACTACAGATACATTTACTTTTACTTACATTTACATAAAACTGTTCGGACGAATAAAATATTATTGTAACAAATAAGATAACTGTTCGGAAAAATATGTTTTTCGTTTAGACGAACAAGATATTTATGGGAACAAATTAGCTCTTCCTCCAGATGGATTAATAGTACGTTCTTTGAAAATTTGATAGAGGCAAGCATCCAGAAAAATCAAAGATTGTGCATTTATAAAACATATGGATCAAGTGTACGTTGGGGACGAGATATCGGTATCTGATCAAGTTTCTGGATCAAATGAGATGAAAGCTGAACTGAGTATTTCATACATTAAACTTAAAGTTTTAGAGCGATGCAAACCAACACAAGTTATCTTTGTTATTGCTATAATATATATATATATATATATATATATATATATATATATATATATATATATATATATATATATATATATATATATATATATATATATATATATATATATCTCATTTCAAGCAAAATAAAAGGGAAAATGAAGAATGCATGTAATGTATATGTATGATGTGTTCTTTATCATATTAGAATATACCCATATTATAGACTGTGGTAATGGAATAGGGAAATAACAAACAGTATTCAAGCTTATAAGTTAAATTAATGAGTGAATAAAATAATCCCACATCTGATGTTTTAGGAGATCCGCGTTTGCACCGCTACGAATTGCATTGTTCAAATGGACTTTCAGCTTAAACACTGTTCAAATCTCCATATTTCATGAATATTATTTAAATCTTTTATTCTACATAACTGTTTATGCATTGTTCAAATAAAAAAAAATGATATACACCCTCAACTAAATTTATTCACAAATATAATCATGTAAAGAAACCATAAACGTTTTGAATGATAAAGGCATATTTATGTTAGAAATATTTTTTTTTTGAAAATTGTTTACTAATTATACACACTCAGATGTGTAGTATTTATACAGAATATGTTATGCAAAAATATATGTTTAAAATGAAAATGCCAGAAAAGATGTCAGACCATTTATATAAAACATTATAGAGCATATTTTAATGGTTCTATTCACATGACACAGAATACAATAATTCTATACACTGCATTCTGGTAGTTCTCTACTCCTATCAGCTGATATCCAAGAGCCCCTTCCATTCCTGATACATGGCTGTCTTCAAAAAATGTATAAGAAAATATTATTTATATTGTCTTCTTATTGTCAATAGTTAAATGAAATTAACTCGCGGAGTAAATATTCGCTTTATTCGCGGAAATAAAAATTCGACGAATTCAACAAACAGTGAATATTTCTGCAAAGGTCTATAAGGATAAATTAAAATACACATGTATTACCGATATCTGTGATTAGATTCGTTAACTCTTTGTGTGTTTCCTTGCAAACATAAAAGCAGTAATTAATATAGCGGACATGTAGACTAATTATGCGGTTGTAGGGATCAATCATAACATGTTGTAGTTTTTAAAGCTTAAATGATAGACAAACGTCTATAACTAACATTTAATTCTTCCACCCAGTAGAGGTGCGATGTTAATTACCTATAAAATATGTATTGTTAGATTTCACCCGTGCGTATCAGTCAGTCTTATTACACTGTTACACATGCATTCATTCAATTTTATAACAGTTCAACATTTTGACTATCGGTACTGACAACTGTTCTAGATTCAGGGAAATCTAAGCATACTGCAGTAAATACTACTTTGTACGCAACTGAAAACATACCTGTGAGCGAACACTTGCCAAATAGCTCTTTTTAACATGAATATTAATAGGTCTGGATACGAAAATCACTTGAGTAAATCACTTAGGTATAGACTCATTTGTATTTTAAAGATATTTAATGAAAAGGAAGAAAGAAGAAATGAAAGAAAAAAGAATATTTATCTGAATGCGTAACATTGTAAATCGTACAACATATCGTCTTCTAATCGGGATCAGTATGGTGTTTCGTTCTATTTAATCGGGTTCAGAATCGACACAAAACGAAAGGAAAATACTTGCAGTGCTGAAAAAGTTTTCGTATAATTTTTCATTCCTGTGAATACAAACGACCGCGATTTGCTGCAAATTGAACAAATCGCCATATTTTCCGACTGCGATATTAACCTGCTAAACAGTATTCATTTTGTTTTTTCATTTATGTAAAGAAGTTGAATGTTGAATGGTTTAATGTCAGGACAATGTGACAGTAAAGAAAGTTTGCTATAAATTCATGTAGCATTGCAAGAAAACAAGTGTGTGTGTGAGGGTGTATGTGTGTGTGAAAATATGTGTGCGTGAAGATGCAATTAACTGACTGTTCATACATGTCAACGACGTATATTTGTAGCAATGTACAGTTATTTATATTCACTGTCTTGTAAAAAAACAAACTCAGATCTATTGATAGGAGAACGGACTTTATTTATTCTTACGGATGAATAAATATCTTACTTACGGATGAATAATAAATTTTTCTTTTAAAAACATAAGATAATTAATGATATCTACATAAGAGAAAACATTTGTTTTATCTATCAATGCAAAAGCTTTTAATAAAGGATTGAATACATACCTTTCTTTATTACTACAAGGATCCTTCATACAGGCTTTACAACAAAACCTACAAAGAGACTTGCTAGTAAGTTTTATGACTTGTTTGAGTCTGATAACATATCAGGAATCAAGGCAAGGAATCAAACAGATTATTATGGAAAAATATTTACATTCAGTGTAATTTTCTTTATGAAATCCATTAGAAATCTAGAAATCTTCAAATCTCTATAACACGCGAAACCTTGTCACCGTGACACCGAATAAACAGTAAGAACTATATGCATTTTCAATAACGTAAAGGATTAGATGGAGGATAAAAGCATACGAAAGGTTGCGCGGTTAACATGAGTCTGTTAGAAGGCTGTCATTCAGGAGAAGATACAGTGGAAGGTATGACAAGATACATAAAGCGTACGGGGCGTCAATCATTTTCAATAACGGTGTCTAGAATGTTGGATTTAAATTATTTTACTTGTTGCTTAGATCTGTCCGAATAAAGCACAACCACGAGAAATTAATTATAATTACACCAAAATGTATATTGTTTGACTCAGTTTAATTAAAGAAAAACATCTACCCTGTTAAATTAACGCAAAATACAACAACTGTGCGTTTAAAATTAATTTGTCATGTTTTCCTCGCAATGTTCATATGCGTTATTTAACTTTCCAACGTCACAAACGGCTCTTAAGTCTCCAAGACCACTAGTTGTGACAGGCGCTAAATTCATAATAAAATTAACGAATTGAACAATTATGAAGAAAGAAAATTAGAGAATGTAAATATAAGTATTGAATTCTTATTTTTTGGATGTGGTAGGTCCTATAACACACCTGGCCGTGTCGACAAATTATCATATCGCGCTGACGCGCGGTATTCAAATTGTCGGCATTATAATGAGTAGATGCATATATCAAATGATGAGTTAAAGGGTTTATTCAAATTAACGGTTATATATATATATATATATATATATATATATATATATATATATATATATATATATATATATATATATATATATATATATATATATATATATATATATAGTGAAATTGTAGTAAAAGTCCACGGTATAGGTAGATTATAAATTAAAAATAAAATCCAAGATAAACAAACAAGTTCACATTTAATTATTACACTAAGCGCTTTCGCCGTGAGGCTCTTCAGAGTGTAACAAAGTTTATAAAACTTTTATATATATGATATTGCAAATGAGTAAAATGCTAATTTTTAAAACCTCCTTTTATACTTTAAACTTTCATAAACTCACTTGAGATTTGGCATTTGTTCCCATGGTACCCATCTTTACATCTTGAGCACTCTCCAATCAGCTCGTCACATGTTCCGG